GTCCAATATAATAGTGGCAACGGCATGCCGCATGGCCAATCTTCAAAATTCTGTCCCTATAACGAATCTAATCCACGAACTTCATTCTTTGGAATAGTATTCTGAGGCCTACTCGATGTGAGTAAAGAAAATTTTCTTGTGCAATTTGTAAATTGTATGTAAAACAGTTCAAAAACGCATGACTTGGGCTTGTTCCAAGTTTTTTTTTCCGACTGTAGCTCCTATGGTGCTAATCAAGGTATGTTCAGCTCCTATGGTGCATCAAAAAAGTTCAGTCCTTCCAAAGACTCCGAAAGTGAGCCAGTGGTGCCAGTATGCCATTTGGTAAGGCAAATTATCTTCGACGAAGAACTTCCTTCGTCGCAGATAGTTTGCCCTATCAAATGACATACTGAGGCATATAATGACGGATTGGTAGCAGTGGTGGTGCAATTCATCTCTGAGAATTTTTGGAACTGTCGCTTTTCAGCGAAGGGTTTGCCTTACTCACCATTACCGAAAAAGAAACCATTCATTCATGGCATTTGCCATCCAAGTGCACGTCGCACAGGGCGACAAAGCACATGGACCTAAGTTGAACTATTCTTCAGATTCTCTTGTGCATGCAAGGGCAAGCACTTCATTACTGCCTACACCGTCGCAGGCCATTGGTCGCCAAGTTGAAGCCCACCATCATCAACCTCAGCTTCCGCGTGCCCAGCAATGAGCTTCAAGCAGCTTCTTTAGGCGCAGTTTGTCGACGGGGGGGGGCATTCTGCTTTCCATAGATGTGCCGACCCATCTAGGTAGCCTTTTCTCGAGTTGACACGTTTTAGGATGGTGGCTAGACAATCTTGCACTAGCTTCACAAGAATTTACAGGTTTTTTTACCGGGGTGAGATTTGTAAACCGGAACTAGGGAAGCAATGGTTGTACAAAATGCCCCCCCCCCGTCGACAAACAGCGCCCTTCTTTATTCCAAAAAGTACCAAGCGATTTCCCAGGTTGAATCGCTCTAGTCCAATGCTACTGATGTTTTGGACGTGCCCTCCACCCACAAGAACGCCGCTTCCCAATGTGCTAACTGGGATGTCGCAGTGCACAGCAGCGTGCCACTTTCTCCGCTCGAAAAGGCAGGACAACGGGACTGAAGGGTGATGCCCATGTGCCATCTCCATACTCCAAGCGCGCTATCCTCAACGTACAGCATTTGCATTGATACCAAGAAGCCCCAGCGAAACGCGCACTGTGCGGTAGAAAACAGCGGTAGAGGCGTGAGAGCGGCTTTAGTTAGTGGCCATGCGTCAGCGACGTGGTGGAAAAGATGGCACATTCTGCTATCATTAACCTCGGGGCCCGTTACGTACACTTTTCCCTAGAGAAAGTTGGTAAGCGCCTACTGGCAGCGGGGGCCTATATACCGTTACAGGACCAGGACCGCAATGGGTAGGTACATTTGTCTTTAACGTCGGAGACACCAACTCATCCAGCTTTTTTAGCGCCGCTTAATTTTCTCTTGTACTTATCCACTACAATATGGACGAGTGCAAATTTTCAAACGACATTTTTCGTGGGTGTTGGACGGGGAAAATCACCCAGCAGTGTTGAAACGACTTGCTTCAGGGTGGCAGCAACCGGTTTACTGCGCATTGGTGCCTACACTTTCGCATCCACCCAGAGTTAAGGCGCCGCAGTGCTGACGTCCCGCGCGCGACATCCCAACTTCGCTTCGTTCGGAAATAGGAAACTATCGACGCGCTGAATGTTGAATTCATTGCAGGTTTTGTAATTGTTCTACTTCCGAACTGTCGTGCTAGTTTTCAGAACCAGTTTGCCCAATGACAGTTTTTCTCCGACTTTGGAAAGGCCGTGTAGCCCAACAACAATGCTTTCCAGCTCCGTGTATTGCAGTAGAACCCGATGTTTTCATAGAGTTTAATACACAAGTGTTCTTGCAATAATGCAGCCTTTGCCTGCAAACAAGGTTTGGTGCAAACTTTGAGCAATGATGACGCCTTCCCAAGGAAGGTACCCTTATAAGGCCCTATCAAGCTACAACATACCGACCCGAACGCCCACCGCGCCTGCCGCCCACAAATGGACGACCGTACCTGATGCTCGTATTGCTTCATTTGCTAAGTAAAATATGAAGCGAAGGGATTGGTATGAAGCGGCTGCGGTGCTGCATGGGTACATGAGTGCAGCCGTACTTACCGTAGTGGTTATCGGCAAGATGCTTTCGGGAAACTCGTCCGAAATCGCTTTTTGACTCATTAAAAACGAGGGCGTTTTTTCCGCAGGTTTTGACCATTTCAATTCGTTTTTTCACTATTTTCCTACTATAGGGGCCTGCTGCGATTTGAGGCCGAGTACCAAATTATCGTGCCAACTGCTCAATGAGCAGTAATTGAACCAGGTATGATTAACAAATTCGAGGTAAACCTTCCATCTATAGGAACTGTGACGAAGAAAGAGTAGCGAAAGGGTACGAAGTGATCATTCCTGGAAGCAGAGGTAATTCAGGGCACCAAGGAACTGACACGACTATACCACTTCTTGCACATCTTGTCGTGTCTTGTCTTCAAGAACTGTGGAATCGGATACGTGCTCAAGTTTCGAAGATAGAATGGATACAAGGAGTCATGACCTGATCACCCGCACAAAGGTGTAGAAGGATTGGGTGGAGAAACCGTAGGAGTTGCGAAGGCATCAGAAACAGTAATGGGCACCCTGCTAGAAATGAACGAGAAACGAAGTGCGCAGACTCGGAAACCTTGATGCTTAGTCTCCAGCTTCTCTCTTCGTGTAGCCTCGGCATTGTCGTGAATTCCATAATATTCTTCTGCGCCTATGAGGTTTTTACTTGCTAAGGTACTTTCATTGTAGGTCTAACGTTTCGACCTCTGAGGACGGCGATCTAGTGAAACGTTAGGCCTACAACAAAACAATGACACAGAAGAATCTGTAAAACCTTCTATGTTTATTTTTTTCAACATATGAGTTCCTTGGCAGCATCTCCAGTTCGCGGCTTGGGCAACCGCGCGACCCGAACGCTCATCTTCCAAACAGCACCTTATCCCAACCGCGGAATTTGGGAATGTCCAACTATGGCTCGCAGGCTGCGAAAAATTGCCCACGTTCTAGAATGTACTGTGTCCACTGTCAGCCGATCTGCGGGCGTCAAAAGAATGACGCGAGGGTATGTGATGTGTCCCCAGAGTAACATTTCATCCACATAGGCAGTTGTGTAAAGAATTATCAAATAACAACCAAAACCTCACCGACTTTGCAATGAAAACCTGTATGTACCTGCTGATAGAACGTCAACACTGTTGTTGAAGTAATTTGCATTGTCAGAAGAGGGACCGAAGAGATAAACAATGTAAAGGGTAGAAATCAGGGACCAATATGGGAACAACCTGGGAGGGTACGGTCACACTTTCTGTCCCTGGCGCTTAACACCCGTCACAAGTCTGTAATTGTGCACCACCCTCTTCTGGACGCTGAATGAGAAAATTCTTACATGAGGGCAAGGAGAAGGCAGCGTGATGCGGAAACCACTCAGCTCGCGGCATTCCCTAGTCACTTGGAGCGATCACCTAGATCACTATTGCCCTACTATGAAGGTACATGAGTCGCTTTGTGGCGTGAAATGGCCAGATCTTGGTGCGAATGACGCGCAACGAATGACGCGAACCACTTGCGAAATCGCCTTGCCGCGCGGGCGAATCTACTGGTCTCACTCTAGGAGTGCACCTGTACCGTGCGCAATTCATTATACTGTGTGGAAATGCTGGTGTTCGTCAGGGTGACGTGATCTCCCCTACGTTGTTCAACGTGGTAATGGACGCTGTCATGAGGAAAACTTTCAACGGAAGGCAAGGCGTGCAGTACGGTGAAGGCGGCTTTCTCACTGACCTGATGTTTGCCGATGACAGCGCAATTTTTGCCGAAACTGACGAGGAAGCGACTAACATCATGTGCTCACTGTCAGAGATTGCCCAGTCGTATGGCCTCAAAATAAACGCGGAAAAGACCAAGGTGATGACCTCGGATGGATCGCCCGCGTCCGTGCGACTGGGTAGCGTCGCCTTGGAGCAAGTGAGTAATTTCAAGTACCTTGGATCGGTCGTTCAAGAAAGGAAAGTGGCTGCCGAGGCTGAGGTCCGCAGCAGGATTGGTCATCGCGTCATTTGCAGCGTTAAGTGGCGCTCACCAGTCACAAGTTCTCTGGAAGAAGAGTACACATAATACACTGAAAACCAAAATCCTCGCCAAGGTTAACGCGGACGACTGCGTGCCTCCCCGGCAGTGGTACTATAAGGAGGTCATGAACATGAAGATACACGGACTTGCTCAAAGAGACAGATCTGTCTCATCTACGGAAGGACAATGTTTCAAATGCGTTGTCTCCGCCATATGCTCGGGATCAGGCTTCGTGACCATGTCACGAACAACGCCATCAGGGAGAAGTTTGAAGATCAACCCACAATCGAGGAACAATTGAAACTGCGACGGCTACGATGGTTCGGTCATCTGTGCAGGATGGGTCACGACAGAATACCTAATATGCTCCTGTGGAGAAAACGCCCTGCGCAGTGGAAAGTTCAGAGGACGGCTCCAAAAAAGGACTTGGTTGAAGCTCAAAGTTGAGGAAGACCTTAGGCTCTGAGGTGCAGTGTTGAGCATGCTAGACGTATTGCTGCTAATCGACCAGAATGGAGACACTTCATTCAGGGCGTTCGTACTCCAATGGCACCCACAGCAGTGTACTGGTTGAGAGGACGGCCCCCACCACCAGACGGCAAGCCTAACGGGATACCTGTACCGTACGCAAGTAGTCTTACTGTGTAGAAATCCACATCAAATTCGCCTATGATCCTTGCAAGTTTACAATTCAAGTAATTCCGGCCTTTCGTGCTGAATTTCTGAATTAATACCATTCCCCCCATGTGACATTCCCAGAACGCTATAACTTTTGCAAGACGGTTGAAACCGGCCCTCTCAGAATAGCATCAGAAAGAAAGCATGAATTATTAATGTGCATCTTCAAGGTTATTATTAGAATAACAACCAGTTCAAGGACTTTCCATGAGGCTCTTCGTTGTAAAAAAATATCCAAGCAACTGATCGATCTTTGTTTACTGTGGAGAAAGTGGTGGGAGGTGACGGATTGTTATACAGTTTTCGCCCTTTATAGTTCAGTTTTGTAGTCGACTACGCACAGCGATCCATTCATTTCCCTAAGTCATCAGCTGATCAGGTTACTGTAATACGTCCAAACCTACCCTTGACCTCAACTCGCCCATTCTCGCTGCCATACGAGAAAAGCAAAATTCTAGTGTTCGTCTTCAATCGATCTTTGGGTACGCCAAGCGCTCAATTCCCAATTAGAGTCTGACTGCCATTTGAATGGGTAGTTGTTCTATTCAATGATTTGTCAAGAGCTCGTCGACGCTGTAATCAACGTGACACCGTTCTACTTGAAGAAAAGAGCAACAGTCAATAGCAAGGTTTGGCCAGACTTTCGATTCTGGAGGGTGTCTAGCCTTGCCACTGGACTAGCTCTAGCACAGTACACTTTGGCACATCCG